CACAAGCCATCATTTTTCCTTCTGTGTCCAGAAAAAGCTGAAAACCATGTGTTTATGATGAGCCTGTTGCTATGCAAATGATTATAACACATTACAAAAATCTTCCCTTAGAGTCAGGGGAAGATGAACCGCGAGTAAGAGTCCCTGTGCTCAACAGAAAAGCTGGCAAAAAGAAGATGAGAAGTTAAGCGAAATGGGGAAAAAAATAAAAATAAAATAAACAAACCTATGATGGCCCCATCCCTTGAGTCATTTTAACCAAAGGTTTAGGGAAAACGAACGTTTTTACAGCCCCAAGGTAATGTGTCTTACAGTTTGGAGTGGGGTTAACAAACTTTCTTAATCTCCTCCATTCCTATGGCTTCATGACTCACCCTCCATCTGTCTATGAGGGTGTCCTTTTCACCAGTTTCTTCGCACTTCTGTGAGAATATCAAGAGATTTCTTTTTCCTTGTATGTGTACTCCTATGTGTGTTCTCCTTTTAATAGCTTTTGTCTTCTCCTTCAATTATCACCTAAAACTAGGGCCTGAGTGACTCATTTCTCCCCCAACTCAATCATAGTATCTTGGCCGATTTCCCTCACTTATGAAGAGATTTGCTCTTCAAAGGTTATATCCAGGAAAGGAGACACAGTATGTCAAAATTAATGTCAAAAAACAGAGCTTCTTAATTTTTTAATTTAAAAAAAATCTGCCCGTGATCATTTCAATTAAGTCCATTGCTTTCTTAAACAGTTTACAGCCAACAACATTTGCAAATTTTTGTTGTGTTGTTTTGTATAGTCCATTTTTTTGTTGTTGTTTTTAATCCTCACCTGAGGATATTTTTCCCATTGATTTTTAGAGAGTGGAAGGGAAGGAGGAAGGGGGGAGGGAGGAACGGGGGGAGAGAGGGAGAGAGAGAGGGGTGGGGGGAGATAGTGAGAGAGAGAGATAGAGAGATAGAGAGATAGAGAGAGAGAGAGAGAGAGAGAGAGAGAGAGAGAGAGAGGGGTAAGAGATACATCAATTGGTTGTGTGTCTGCACGTATCTCAACCAGGACCAGGGATCGAGCCTGCAACCCAGGTATGTGCCCTCGACCAGGAATCAAACCATGAGCCTTAGGTGCTCGGGCCAACGTTCCAACCACTGAACCACACAGGTCAGGGCTGTATAGTCTATTAACCGGCAAGCTTTCAAGGGTGGGATTATCTGAGGATAAGAAATGAAATACATGCCTTTTAATTACAACTTCCTTTCACCCCCATGTGTCTTAACATGCATGGGTCAACACACATCAAACTAACAAACAGTTTACTTCTACTAATAAACTCTTGTCAGAGAGGAGAGACGCTGTCCTGACGAATTCTATAGAACCTGCTTCCCTCTCAAAGAGAGGGAGCCAGACCACTGCAAACACGTGTTGGGCGAAAACAAGTTTGGTTGGCTCCAGACAAAGGCTTATTTTTTAAGCACAGATGGTTGAAGGGTTGCCTCCTCCAACGGGTTTGCCCACAGTGAAAGACAGATTTCTATTTCTAATCTATGCAAATATCTTTCTCTGTGGGCATCACAAAGACGAACTGTTTGGTGGCAGACACGGCCACTCCCAGGTGCTCGCAGATGCCAAAGCCCATCTCCCACCTGAGCCGCCTGGAAACTGGGGTAACAGCGGATGGCTGCAGAGTTAGTCACCACCCTCCTCCTCCCATGAGGATTCCTGGGGAACCCCGCCCCACCACTGCTCCTCCAGGCTGCTCTGCCTCAGGAGCTTCAACATTCAGATGGGGCCCCGGATGCTTCTAAAACCTTCAAAAACTGCTCAGATTTCCGCCCCCCACACCCACCCCACACAGGCTCCTAATGACTCTGAGTAACATTCTTCACCTTGAATTCAGCTCATCTATTGGCCTCTAACACCAAACCCGGAAACCCTGAGCATTTAAAGGTGCGATTCTGTCCAAACCATGTCTTCTTTATACTCTAGTCTATGTGCCCTCCTCCCACAGTAGGTCTCACTGAATCACACCTGAGTCACTGTCGGTGGCTCTCAACCTTCCCACGTGTATGTTAGTCCCTTCTGCGTTCCTTTCTCCCTCTGTAAATTTTTCCTTTCTGTACTTACAATCTTTCTCTCTTATTTCTCCATCTCCCCAGGTTAAGTCTTTGATTTGCTCTGACACCCCTTGAAGCATTCCAGTTCTAAGGCACCTGGGGGCAACACAAATTCCTGAAATATTCATTCATTCATATTCATTCTCTCTTTCTCTCTCTCTCTCTCTCTCTCTCTCTCTCTCTCTCTCTCTCTCTCACACACACACACACACACACACAACCACACACCTCCTCATGCTAGCCCAGCTCCTAACTTTAAGCATCCCCCACCATAAAAGGTTATATCAGAAATCTACATAGTTTAGTTCTAATGTTTGAGCCTAAAAGTGTCCTCAAAGTGTTGCATTATTTCCTTTGTTAGTTTTTCTGAGCAAATGACAGTAATAGAGTTGGCTCCAGAATCTTGTGTTGGAAAACACTGTCCCTCCTTAGCGAATTTCATCTTAAACAGACCAAGCTAACTGAGCAAAAAGGAATTCTAAAGGAAAAGGAAAAACGTGCCCCCTCGTCCCCAGCCCCAATAACCAGCACCACCAACAACTCTTACTCTTTACCTCAAATTTGAGATCTAAACACTTTTTGCTTTGTTTCGGCTTAGGAATGCAAATATTGACAGCCAAATAATGCAGCATTAATTTTACTTACCTGGAAAATAAAACTATAAAGAACTTTAGAGGTTAATTAATGTATTGATTCCCAAGTATGAACGAACACCAGAACCACCTGAGGAATATTATTTTAAACAATACATCCTCCTGATCCCCAGCCTTAGTCACTCCAATGCAGACTTCTGGTACAGCCCTAGAATCCATATTTATAATAAACACTCTGGGTAATTAGGATATAGCAGGTCCCGGTCTGTTTAAGCAACTGGTCTATTCCAACATCCTACCCCATATGACAGTCTCCTCCAGGGACACCACATCACTATCTGCTCTGGGCCAGCAATTCCAGACACCAGGGACCTTGCCCTTCTAAATGTCTGCTTGTTCCACGTTTTTGTGGACTTAGCTATTAGAAACCATGTTCTTATGTTGAGCCAAGTAACCAAAGTCTTTCAATTCCTTGAACTTCACTCACTATCAGCCCTAATTTTGTGTCCCAGAGTGGACACAGAATTCCTTCCCTAGAAGTCTTCATATATCCCAGGGCAGCCACCACACCCTCACAAGTCTTCATTTTTCCAAACAAACTGATTTCTTTGCCTTCATAAAGCACAATGCCCAAGTCCCTCACCATTTCAACTGCTCTTCTGCAACAACAGACCTTATAGAATAAGTCTGTCTAAAGTAGCAGCACTTTTTTTTCTCACGGATGCCTTTTTTCAATAGGCATTCATTTATCGCCCGTGTTTCAGTCTTGTTACTCATTGCCTTGCAGTTAATGGTCCGAGAGCCACGGATTGGCAAATACTTATTAACCCAATGCTATGTTCCTAACTGTGTAAGTACTCAGCAAGGATTCATAAGCCAGCAGGTACCGTCCACATTTGAGGTGTAAATCATCTTCAAGTGGGTTTAGCCCTAGCTGGTTTGGCTCAGTGGATAGAGTGTCGGCCTGTTGACTGAAGGGTCCCAGGTTCGATTCTGATCAAGGGCCCATGCCCAGGTTGTGGGCTCGATCCTCAGTAGGGAGCGTGCATGAGGCAGCTGATTAATGATTCTCTCTTATCATGGATGTTTCTATCTCTCTCTCTGAAATGAATAAAAATATATTTTTAATAAAAACAGAAAGGGCTTAGAAAAGTGAAATAACTTGAAAATAATGGATGGCAGTATACAACCAAGTGCTTCAAACGAATGGCACCTGAAAGACCGAACACAGGTTTTCTGGGTCAGACTGTGAGCTATCTCATGCCCTCTGTTTACAGAAAAACAACCTATTTAACAACAGTTTTTATTTTAAAAAAAAAAGATGGAAGCCATTACCTCAAAATGTATATATAAAAATGTCAAGTACATCCTATTTCAGAAAGTTCACATCTACGAAGCCACACATGCACTCATCGAGTCGAATACCGCTTGTTCCTTTGTCTCGGCACGTCACTGGCACTGCTGCCACTCAGAATGCCAGGATCCGGGGAAAAGGCAAAAATCAGAGAGTCCAAGCAATGCCTTTTATTACTGCAAATAACCATTTGACGAGCTAACCCCCCAACAAGGACATTTTAATGGAAAACTCTTACCAATAAGTGAACTATACCACCACCAACAAAAATGCATTTGCATCCTTCATAGAATCGCAGACTATCCGACCTTGAGGAACTTATCCAAATCCCTCTCTTGACAGATGAGGGGAAATATCACTTCAAAGATGGCAGGTGATTCTCTCCAAGGTTAAGCAGCCTCTGAGCAGGAGGAAGGGACCAATCCCCGAGTGGGTCTCCCCTCATTCACCCTCAGACAATCCAAACTCTTGCCCCCTCAACATTTTCCTCAACGCGACTCCCATCTCCCGTTACCTTCCCAATCCTCAAATCCAAAGACTGGAGGTACATTTTGTTTGGGGACATTTCGAGGGAAGGAGTGGACTACCCAGTAAATAGGAGGTTCATTTTTTTTATTCGATTCTAGCATATTTTCCCCACAGCCTCCAAGGAATACTGCCGTGCTGCTAGAGGCAAACTTCTACCTGATTCAGGATCACTGCTGTCTTATGAGCATTGTAGGAACAGTTGAGTCGGAGTTAGCGACATGAATTCAAACAAATATTCTCAAGCTGAAAAGCAACTGGGAAAGAATCCCCATCTACTGCCCACTAAACACACGCACTCGTAGACACACACACACACACACACACACACACACGCACACACCCTAGATCAACCACCAGCTCATGTCCTTCATCAGAAGCCTCGCCGCTCAGCCACGCCCTGACACGGAATGCGGGGAAAATGCACCTACCTCGTGGCCTCCTGCTGCAGCCATGACACATTTGGCACGTAGAACATGACTCCGAAGAAAAGCAGAGGCTCATTAGCGAATTTGTCCAGATGTTTCTTCAGCGGTTTCTCCAGCTCCACCCATCGTGCCTGCTGGCTCTTGCTGAGAAACCAGAGGCCAAAGTAGTGCGTCTAGATAAAAGGGCAAAAGAACATCAGTTCCTGCTCGCAAGGGCCTTCCCAAGACCACACAGGAAACGAGGCTCCCAGCCTCCCGGCCCCCGCGGTTCCCCGGCCCATACACAAGCATTCAGCTGTCACTTTCTTGACGTTGGGACGACTTAAAAAGAAACCACATGTACACATGTATTGTGATCGACACTGAATACCCAGAGGCAGTATCCACACCCATGGCTGCTGTTTGTCTATGCGGGTGCCGATGCACCCATGTCAGGGAGAGGGGGTGGTGCAGGGTGGGGACCTCGCCGACTCTTTCCTCAGATCTCACAGCTGACTTTTCCCGTGGCTCCTGGTGCCTCGTGCTCTCACACGGAACAGGCCGGCCAAGGCAAGCACAGTCCTTGCACCTGCTGCAGAGGAACCGATTACTCAACTCCTAGGACAGTGGTTCTCAACCTTCCTAATGCCGCGACCCGTTAATACAGTTCCTCATGTTGTGGTGACCCCCAACCATAAAATTATTTTCGTTGCTACTTCATAACTGTAGTTTTGCTACGGTTATGAATTGTAAATATCTGATACACAGGATGTATTTTCATTGTTACGAATTGAACATAATTAAAGTATAGTGATTAATCACAAAAACAATATGTAATTATATATGTGTTTTCTGATGGTCTTAGGCGACCCCTGTGAAAGGGTCGTTTGACCCCCAAAGGGGTCGCGACCCACAGGTTGGCGACCCACAGGCTGAGAACCGCTGTCCTAGGACAAAGCCTTCTGCCCATGGCCAGCGTCCACAGTGTGGAATATTTCCATCCAGTCCCAGATTTTAACTGAAAATGGATTCTCTCCTTAGGAGCTTTAATGGAGTCCTTTAAACCACACTGCCTCGACCACTTCATTATACATGAACCGCAGCAAATCTCTCCTCCACATCAAGCTTTCAGAGTGGTGGGGGTCTCCTCTTCGCAGCTGCCATGGGGCCCCCAGTGGCTGTTCTTGGCTGATTGTGGTGGGATTTGATAGATGAAAGTGAGATTTTTCACCCTTGGACATGAAGCCTCACCCAGTTTAGTTTTGAACGACGGGCTCAATGATGAAAACGGGTGCTTTTAGGCATCCTATCCTGTCTTCATATTAATTGGTGCTCAGATTTCAGGATTAGCACAACAATCGCCAAAAAAACAGATCACTCACTGCTTTGGAAGCATTCTTTTCTATTTCAATTACAGCCTCGAATACTGTACAGCACACCTGGAAACCTACCTTCAAAAGAATGTTTTCAGGACGATGTTTAATTTCCCAAGGCAATCCTGTGCAGATGTCCCCCGCCAGCTGGCCGCCCCTCCTCCATACTGTGGCTCACCCGTGCCACAGCGCTACCCAGATCTACAGGAAAGTTCTGACTCTGACATTACTAGAAAACCAGACCTGGCCTCACCTCCACACAGCTAGAGGCCCAAAACCTCTGCAGGGTGTTTTTAAGTGATACTTTCAGGTGGGAGCGGCGATTTGATCCAATTTCCTCCACGCTGTCCCAAAGGGCAAGTTCACACCAGAAGTCTATGCATTTCTTGAGCAACGAAATACCAACAAACGGAGCCAAGATTCTATTTCTATCGACTCAGACAAACTGGCTTGAGTGAATTCCGACCCTATTGTTCCTCTCCCAGCTTCGGGTAGTCCACGAGCTGTTCCAATGTGACTGATGACGTAGAGCAGCGGTTCTCAACCTGTGGGTTGTGACTCCTTTGGCAGTCGAACAACCCTCTTTCACAGGGGTCGCCTAAGACCCTCCTGCATATCAGATATTTACATTACGATTCATAACAGTAGCAACATTACAGTTATGAAGTAGCAACGAAAATAATTTTATGGCTGGGTCACAACATGAGGAACTGTATTTAAAGGGCCAGAAGGTTGAGAACCACTGACGTAGAGGCAGGGAAATGTGGCTGAGCTGAAGAAAACAGGCTCTGAAGTCACTCATCTCCCAGTTGTTGCCCTCACTACCTCGGGGGCTGTGGCCAAGCTCCGGTGCCTCCTCACATCTCAGAGCTTCCTCATCTGTCACCCACAGGCTCCTAGGGGTGCAAATGCGGTGATGCCGACCAACCGTGCCTGTGGGGGGCACCTGTTAAGTAACCATGTCATAAACGGTGTCTTCTGCGGCTGCTGATGCTACTGCCACCATCATCGTCACTGAGAAGAAAAGCAGGCAAGCCTCAAGAATCTTGTTCATCAGCACTACTGGCTACCCCATGAACCACTGGATCAGAAAACAGCAGTTGTCTCAACTACGTGAGAAAAGGCAAGCCAAAGTCAGAGCTGGGAAGCCTGTCTGTCCATCACACAAAAATCTGAAAGGTGTAAGAGCCCTGGCCAGGGTGGCTCAGGTGGCTGGGGGTCCTCCCGATCCCCAAGAGATTGCCAGTTCCATTCCCCGTCGGGGCACATGCCCGGGTTTCAGGCTTGATCCCCGATCGGGGGCATGCAGGCGGCAGCCTACTGATGTCTCACTCTCACATCGATGTTTCCCTCTCTCTCCCTTTCTCTTCCTCTCTCTCTAAAAATAAACACAAATGAAATAAAATGTGTAAGAAAAAAGAAATAGTCACAGAGCAGTGGCTCCCACAGGATTTTCTTGAGAGTCTCATTACGGATGTGGGTGGGACCCCGGCACATCACCCGGATGCTGTCCTAGGGGATCTATGACGGAGGCTCAGGTGAATCTTAACGTGAGGGAACCTGGGTACTTCACAAACTGGGAAAGGGGCCAAGGCGGCTCTGCGTTATACTGAATTCTGTTGAGGAGCGCAGGCCACAGAAGGGTATTTGGATGGCCAGCGGCGAGTCTGCATAGCATAAATGAGGTAATATACGTAAACAGTAATGTGCTATGTAGTACGTATTTTAGTTGGAAAAGAGCCCTTTTCTAAGCATGGGTGGAGAAAGGGAGGGCAAAACTTTACAGTTACTTAACAGGCCGCCCGTGATTGAGTGTCTTTCGCTAAAAGTAGTCCTGACTTTTGGGGGAATCATTTATGGGCCTTACTTCATTCAGAGGATAACACCCACTGAAATTAGTAACATTCACATCATAAAGGGCCCTCAGTAACTGCGTTAACAGGCTATGATTGACTTTTCAAAAGGAAATTTTTTTAAAAAATTTGTTTCCTGCTCCTATGTTTTCATAAAGGCCAGTATTTTAAATTTCCTTTTCTCATTCCCATCCACCCAATCGTTAAACCAGACCTGATCTCCTCCCAAAGAAAAGCCTGAGATAGAATACTCCACAGAGTCTATATACACACCCAAGAATATTCTATAGAGTACGCATACACACCCACATGCATGCACAGATAAATGCACACACAGGTGCCTACATTGAAAGGGGGGATGATGAGGTACAAGAGAAACCATGGTAAGGTAACAGGGCTGAGCCACCACTGATAGCACAGAACTCTAAATAACAAGGCAAACCACTTCTAACGCAAAAAAACACACCCTAATTCATGGCATAAGATTTGTGGTGTTGCTGCAACACATCCTTTTCCATAGGACACAGCATATTTCAGGGTGGCTCGTTATGCATTTACCCAATAAAAAAAAAATTACAGAAAACTACTCAAAATATGGGGTTTCCAATGCAGGGTAGAATTGGATAAGACAGGTAACCTGTCGGACCCAGTTGCTACCTACTCACAGCCAGACAACCTAATTTTACAAGTGCTGAGTTCACTTGTCAAGTAAAAAGCAAAGTCCATTCATGAACTCCCCATCCGCACACTGTTCAGTGAAGCTATGTTCAAAGTAACCTTCTCCATGCCCACGCCACCGCCCTCATTCCTACGCCAGCTGTATCTGGGCTCTGGGGTACTCAGTAGAGGAGAAAACCCGTCTCAAAGTTCCTACCCAGCCCTATCTGGTTTGGCTCAGTGGATAGAGCGTCGGCCTGCGGACTCAAGGGTCCCAGGTTCGATTCCGGTCAAGGGCATGTACCTTGGTTGCGGGCACATCCCCAGTGGGGGATGTGTAGGAGGCAGCTGATCAATGTTTCTCTCACATCGATGTTTCTAACTCTCTATCCCTCTCCCTTCCTCTCTGTAAAATATCAATAAAATATATTTTAAAAACAAAAACAACAAACAAACAAAAGTTTGCAATGCGGCACTGGTGTGTTCTGCCACGTGTACACAGTGCCATGCAGGAAATGGAATCAGAACCTAACCGCTCACTTCAATTAACATGGGCACCAACCAACTTCCTGTGTGTTAGCCAAGGGACCATCATCCCCTGAGGCCCAGCTGGGACCACAGCAGGCCTGTTCACAGCTGACTTGCCAACTTACACTCCAGCTGCATTCTGGAAGCTGAGCCTCACTGCTAAACATCGCCACATGGTTGAGGAGAACGTGGTGGATGACTCCGAATAGAAACCAGCTCCTCCGTGATCAAAGGGCTCCCACTATGTTTTCCAAGTAAATTCAGGGAATACTTGATCGGTCTATCTCTGAGGCACCCAACCTAAGCCAGGTCCACCTCCTCTTCACCATACCTCCTGGTGAGCTGTCAATCCCTTTTTATTCCTCTCGTTTTCTTGGAAAAACAGCTCAAGTGTGTGCTGAATTCTGCAATGAATTCATTGCAAATGATGAGAAGAGAAGACAGGAGAACCAGCTCCCAGGAGAGGAACCGTACCTCTGAATCAGTTACTAAAAATGCACCACTAAGAAAAGACACAGGGGAGCCACATTACGTTGTCGTTTTCATGAGTAGTTTCCTGGTTTGCTTGGCTTGGAGCTTTGCATTTGAACAGAGGAAGCAAACGCATATGCAGGCTCTCAAAAATATGTTAGTTTCTTCAGTGACAGAGTGGTGTGTGACTATTTTAGTGTCAAAGTAAGGTCTCCCTCTCTCTTTTGGTATCATGAAAAGACTGTAGGGAGTCATGGTCTTCCAAAACAGTCTGAAGCATTGTTAGTTGTTTTTTTTTAAATATGTTTTTAT